AAGACCAGTTCCTGCACGCCGGGGCCTCCGTGCTACAGGTATATATTCAGATTAAATAAAAAATTACAGGTAACAACAGGACCAGTCAGGGATTTTTTGCCTAGATTTAAAGTTCCAGATAAAGACATGCAAAGGTTGATCCTATTATTTCCCACAAAAATAGGAACATAAACATGTTTCCTGTTGCCCCCAGCTTTATCCCTTTACTCCTTCAGGGAAATTCTGGTTCCAGTATCTTATATAGAGGTCAAAGGGCAGAGTTAAAGCAAGATACCATATTATAAAAAGAGTGTATATGGTACAGAAGAGAATAAGAAAAGTTGTAAATGTGTTTCTTATTGATTTTGAACATTGATCTGAGGGGTTTTATCTGCTCTCTACAGGTGTGCAGTGCAGTCCAGAACCAGGACTTCACTCTGATTGAGGATTACTGTCTGGGTATGTGATCCCTATATCTTATTCAGAGTAAATAACTGTGGTATTAGTACTCACAGGTGGTTTTTAGGTCTGAAAGCCCTGCTGTACCTGAGGAGCCTGGAGCTGAACGGCTGGGACGGCCAGTCTCCTCCAACCGAGAGACACCAGAAAGGAAAACCAGTTCCCAGACTGGAAGAGCTGGTCGGGAAGGTAAGTCTAAGTCACTGTGTTTAAAAAGTAACTACAGTTCAGGGGACCAAATGAGCTAATTTTGAGGCTTGGTTTGCTTTAAACGAGCTCATTTTTAGGCTGTTTGATTTGTTTTAAACGAGATAATTTCGAGGCAGTTTGTTTTGTTTTAAACGAGCTCATTTTGAGGCTGTTTGTTTTGTTTTAAACGAGCTAATTTTGAGGCAGTTTGGTTTGTTTTAAACGAGCTAATTTTGAGGCTGTTTGTTTTGTTTTAAACGAGCTAATTTTGAGGCTGTTTGGTTTGTTTTAAACAAGCTAATTTTGAGGCTGTTTGGTTTGTTTTAAACAAGCTAATTTTGAGGCTGTTTGGTTTGTTTTAAACGAGCTCATTTTGAGGCTGTTTGGTTTGTTTTAAACAAGCTAATTTTGAGGCTGTTTGGTTTGTTTTAAACGAGATAATTTTGAGGCTGTTTGGTTTGTTTTAAACGAGCTAATTTTGAGGCTGTTGGTTTGTTTCTCTGCTCAGAGCCTCCCCAGCTTTGGTCCTTACCTCCATCAGAAGAACGAGACCATAGCAAAGTACAAGAAGCAGCTCAGAGATGCCGGTGAGCCTGAGGGGGGGCGGGCCGATCCCAGCCGGGTCCAAACCGGGAAAAAACCCGTCCCAGCTGTCAAGGTGAGGCTCAAACCTCATAAAACCGCCTTATAACCCCGAATGGACTGAACCAACTCGGCTGAATGGAGTTCTTCTGGGTCCACAGGACGTGATAGCCAGAGCCCTGAAGTACATCGGAGCGTACCAGGAACTGGACAACATGGAGCAGGTACCAGTTTTAGACTTATTCTGAGGACTAGATGTCAGGAGGGGAGGATCTCAGGTGTGGAGATAGAGGTTTGAAGGGGTTTATTGAACAAAAATGCACTCAAAAGGAGTGGTTGACCAGACAAGGTTCAAAACAAGGCAGACAAACTATGAATGAAGTATCATAGCAATATTAACAAGACTATGGCAAAAGTATCAAATAAAGTCAACAAGACTATGGCAAAAGTATCAAATAAAGTAAACAAGACTATAGCAAAAGTATTAAATAAAGTAAACAAGACTATAGCAAAAGTATCAAATAAAGTAAACAAGACTATGAACAAAGTATTAAATAAGTAAACAAGACTATTGCAAAAGTATCAAATAAAGTAAACAAGACTGTGGCAAAAGTACTAAATAAAATAAACAAGACTATGGCAAAAGTATCAAATAAAGTAAACAAGACTATGAACAAAGTATTAAATAAAGTAAACAAGACTATGGCAAACGTAACAAATAAAGTAAACAAAACTATAGTAAACGTATCAAATAAAGTAAACAAGACTATGGCAAACGTATCAAATAAAGCAAACAAGACTATATCAAAAGTATCAAATAAAGTAAACAAGACTATGGAAAAAGTATCAAATAAAATAAACAAGACTATAGCAAAAGTATTAAATAAAGTAAACAAGACTATGGCAAAAGTATCAAATAAGTAAACAAGACTATGGCAAAAGTATCAAATAAAGTAAACAAGACTATAGCAAAAGTATCAAATAAAGTAAACAAGACTATGGCAAAACAAGGCTGTGACAAAGTGCAAAAATCAAAATCTTACGTAACGTCACATCTGGAGTAAGGCTTGAAACAGATGTTGATTTATGGCTTCTCCACATATATTTAGTAAAGAAATGTGGATAAAACCAAAATAAAAGCTACTTATTTGTGAATTAATGAAGGCATTTGCTGCTTTTTTTCTCAGGTCCAGGCGCTGATAGATGAAGAAATGTGTATCAACTGTGGCAAATGCTACATGACCTGCAACGACTCTGGATACCAGGTACTTGTGTCCACTAGGGCAATGTTTTTCAACCACTGTGCCTCGGTACACTAGTGAGCCGTTAGTGATGGTCAGGTGTGCCGTACAAAATCATCCGATTTTTCACCTCATTAGTCTAAAAAGATTTTTTGATAAGGAATTAATTTTCTGCAAATAATATTCCATTTCTGAGTGTGTGTGCTGTTCTAGTGACTGGTGGAGTAATCATGTAATAATTCCTTATGACTAGATTTTGTATATGATTTTATATATTGAAGTTTGAACTGCAATTTGAAAGAAGAAATATAAGAAATGATAAAAATACATTTTTGTTTATTTGATTCCTATTCAAGACACTTAAGATAAGATAAGAATAAGATAAGAATAACTATAGTGTTACTATAGGTAGATAAGATAATAATAAAATAAGAATAACTATAGTGTTACTATAGGCGGATACAGATTTGTTTGACATTTTTGGTTGTTGGTGTGCCTCGTGATTTTTTCTATGAAAAAATGTACCTTGGCTCAAAAAAGGTTGAAAAACACTGCACTAGGGGATGATATTTTCTCGTTTAGTAGTATTAATTTCTACAATGAGCCTTTTTTAAACTTGTGTCCAGGCCATCCAGTTCGACCCAGAGACCCACCTGCCCCTGGTGACGGACACCTGTACGGGCTGCACACTCTGCCTCAGCGTGTGTCCAATAATAGACTGCATAAAGATGGTGAAGAGGAAAACACCTTATGTACCCAAGAGGGGGATTCCCATCAGTCCAGTCTGCTAAAAAAACGAACACTAATACTGTCCAGCTCTCTAATAATGAGGGGAAAGCTGCCTGCTTCTGACAAAGTATTTTGGATTGATGCTAAATAGTAATAATTTTATCTAATTTATTCTGATTTCCATTTGTGGTTAATTGTGATCTTTTATCTAATTTTATCCTTAATATGATTCATGATTTTAATAGAGCTGTTCTGACTCACTGAATTAATGTAGAAACCACAAAATAAGAGAAGAAGGCCTCTGTTTATGACGCACACTTTACCAGTCTAGAGTAATAATCCAAGTTGAAATTGTGATCTGAAACATCACTGATTCAAGACTATTTTACTAAAGTGTAAGAAGAAAATAAATAAGTCTCTAAATATCAAATGTTCACATTGTGTGTTTGTTTAATATGTGTGTGAAAAGTACAGTGAAATCCAGATTACCTTTTTAAAGATTAGGTTTCAATACTAAGACTTTATATATATTATATTATTATATATACTTTACATATGGTTCTCTTGTGTATATTGTATTTCTCCAGGGCAAAAATAGATTGACGGATAAATCATTTTTCACATAGCATTAAACTTGCACAAGGATATTTAAAGTATTATAGACATCAACATTGGGAGAGGATAAACCTCCTTATTCTCCTTTGCTGACATTTAAAATGCTCAAATATGAGCTGAATGACAATTATTAATCATTTTGTCCGTTTTTCAGTTGTTAAACTGAACTAAAAATGACTCGATTTATAGAATATACTTTGTTGGCACAAGGATATTTAATATATTAGGAAAGGTTAAACTTCCTTTTTTCTCTTTTAAAATGCTCAAATATGAGCTGAATGACTCATTTGACAATTATTAATCATTTGGCTGTTTTTCAGTTTGTTCAAAAGAAGTTAAACTGAACTAAAAATGACTCGATTCATAGGACATATAGTGAATTTAAGCCAGTGAATTTCCTCGATTTACAAAACAGAACATTAACTTTTAATATTAACAGTTTATTTAAACTAAAATGCGTCTTGGGACGCCTCAAGGGTGGGGAGTTGTAGTACCGACCCCCCAGCGGAGGGTGGCGCCAGAGCGCCGCTTCGCTGTCGGTGGCTCAACGCCATTAAAATGCAAGAAGAAGAAACACGCCCATTTTGCTTGCCGTGTCTGCAACGAAGCTTAAATATCAACAAAACAGAAGCGGACAAAGAGCTGCGATGGATGGGTAAATCTTTATTTACCACAAACAACGCGTTTGCGTGAACATTTCCCGTGTTTTACATCGCGTGTGTGACATTTCGGGGATTTCCTTTCCGCTGTTTTAGGTTAGCTAATGTTAGCTATGCTAACGCTAGCTTAGGTGTGAGCCGCCGTTAGCCTGTTCACGACGTGGGGGCTGAATGGAGGCGTAAGTCCGCGGGAAGAGCTGTCAAAAAGCCGGTTTATCCCAAAATACACCGGAAATGTGACAAGCTGTGGTTTGTGAGCTAATACAGCTATGCAGTCCCTTATTGTCCTGCGCAGGACGTTAGCTTAGCGGCCGGCGGGGGTTTGTTTTTTAAAGATTTAGGGGTTAGGTGTTTCTGTATTTATGTTTTTTTAATGATATGAATCCTTTAGTTGTCTCTTTTGTTGGATGCTTGTTTGGATAAATGTCAGTGGGGCTCCTGATGAGGCTTCTTTGTCTGAGGCTGTGATGCTCTGACCAGAACACCTGATCAATAACCTTATCAATATGGATAAAACAAGAAATGGGATATTCCAGTTAGCTTATAGCCGTTGGGGATAAATTAAACAGCACTGGAAAAAGCTTTTTAATTATTGAGGGACGAAAGATCAGCTCAGAAAATACAAAACAAACCACCAGACCCACAGATTTCTACCAGGCTGATTTATTAATACTAAATCAATCCAAAAATGTAGTTTGTCCACTGTTCAGATTAGCTATTTTTTTCATGCTAAATTACCTAAATTTCCTCATAAAAAGCTGTTGTGGTACTGATGTTTTAATTGTGTGTTTTTATCTTATTTTTCCTGCTGATTTGTGCTATAAAACGTGTCCTACATTTTTTGGTTTTACTCTTTTTTTTTTAAAAACTCAGTGTTGCCTTAATGTGAATATTGTGTAGATATTGGGTTATAGATTGAGATGGGTCACATAATAAAAATGTTTTTTGGGGTAAATGAGGGTTTATAGGTGTGACCCAAAGAACTGATGCTGCATTCCTCTGCCGGGCTTTTAACAAAGCTGCTCCAGTAGAGATTAAACCTGGGGACATTTTTTTATTCCAGGTGATTAGGGTCAATTTATAATGTATATTTTTAATTTAAAGAACAAAACCCAGCACTGTTATACTTCTTTAGAGAGATTTAAACTGGTTTCTGTTCTCTTGTTGGTTGTATCTCTGAACTTGTTGGATTCTGGGCAGTTTTGTGCCTTTTCAGTTTAACCAAACACCCTCTAATCTTTATCTTTTCTGCTTCTATCTGCAGTGATGTTGCAGTCGGTGTGAAGGTACGTTAGCTTTTCCTTTATCTGTGTAGACTTCCTGTTATTTTCGGGGGGGAGAATTAAAGCTTTTATGTTTCTGTTTTCTCCAGAGAGGCTCAGATGAGCTCACCATGTACGGGAGCAGCCCCAACTCCATGACCGGTGAGTTTAGTGGAGTACTTTATTCACATTTTGGCTAATAATAATAATGTTTGGAGCTGAACAAATACAGTGGGGGAAATAAGTATTTGAGCCCTTGCTGATTTTGCAGGTTTGCCCACTTACAAAGAATGCTTATTTTTCCTCATCAGATGGTTATCAATTTTTATAAATTCATATGATGTGATTTTCTGGAATTTTCTTTGGGATTCTGTCTTTCACTGTTAGAATGTACATATGATTAAAGTTATAGATCGTTGCATTCTTTGTAAGTGGGCAAACCTGCAAAATCAGCAAGGGCTCAAATACTGATTTCCCCCACTGTATATGATTTTAAAGCTGGATTATGTATTATTATTATGCTTTTTAAACATCAAATTGGGGCATTGATGGCTTCCCTGGTTGTTGTAGCTCCAACCTTCCTTTTATTATCTCACTCCAGAGCCCTTTGAGAACCATTTCAGATCCACTGTTGGTATTTAAAGTGGGTGTTTGTGTGTGTGTGTGTGTGTGTGTGTGTTTCCCCCTTTAGCAAACGGCAGTGACAGTAAGAAGCAGCGTCTGGACGAGTCCCCCCCCTCCAGAGTGCTCCACATCCGGAAGCTTCCCAACGAGGTGACGGAGACCGAGGTCATTGCTCTGGGTCTGCCCTTTGGGAAAGTCACAAACATCCTGATGCTGAAGGGGAAAAACCAGGTACACACACCTGACTTGCTGTTATAATATTTGTTTTTGTTTTTTCTCTTATTGTACGTCTTTATTTTTGTTACTGGATTGATAAGAGTATA